CAACATATTTTATCCAAATTGATTCCCAGTTGGCCATTAGTCATATCAAGTATCACTTACAAATTAATCGATTATCATATTCAATTAATCAATTATCATTACAGGTGGCTTCATTAAATCAATAAAGAGTCATTATTCTCTGCCAGTCGGCGTAATCAGTCATCTTTTATAGGCCACAACCGGGATAACACCACAAACTATCTTTAAAGAAAAGCTCGTCAGCCCACCCTCCTATACATGATATTATGTTTTAACAGCTAGCTCATTTTATAATGCTAACAACCAGCCGTTCTTACTTTTGTAAATATTGCCATAATCAAAATACAAAAGTAAATAATCAATTATGTTCATTATAAGAAAATATATATAATAATCACAATTATTGAAAACTAAAATATGATTTGAGTTACTTACAATAAATAGAAGAAATATGTGAACAAAATTGACAAATGAAAAAATCTTGAACCACCTACTCTTTCTTTTCTCTATCTTCTTTCAAGACATAGCGCTGAAATTCATATTTCTCATTAAAAAAATCATTTAAAAAAAAATTCAGTTTATTACATCACCAATATATTATAAACTTCATGTTGCAGTAAAAAATAAAGTTTGGAGTTCTCAGTATATTCTAATTATCCAATCTAAATGCAATGCCAATGAACAAATAGGTGGGAAAAAAAAAAATAGAAATTGGCCATGGGCTTCCCCCTTCTGCGATCTTAAGCTTCCACACGATCAAATCAAACTATACTGTGCCAATCCAGCATAAAGTATTCACCAAAATCAGATCATAATAGTATGAAGATCCTAAAATTTTGCAGATTTACGGGATTTGGTCGAAGAAGCACGTGAAAGGGAGAAATAAAGTTACCTTCACTGCGAGCGAGCTCTTGTAAGATGTCGTACCTTCCTATCCGACATGAAGGGATTGTCATCAAGGAGTGAAGTCGAATAGCTACGAAAATGCCGAAGAAGCTACTAGTGCAGAAGTCTATGATGAGGGAGGAAGAAACGACGATGGTCCCGTGGGATTGTCTGAAGAAGCTATTGGAGCCAAATATGAAAAGCTTTCGAAACAATGAGGGAGGAAGAAACGACGATGGTCCCGCGACAATGAAGGAAGAAACAACAATGGGTTCCCGCAAGCTTATCTCTTTCGCCCGCCTAAAGTCCTTTTTCGCTCGATTTGAGCAGGGTTACCTTACATGTAAAATGACTTGCACCGGAGAGTTTCGAATGCATTAGAACTTTACTTTATATTATACCCAACCAAACACCAAAAAGTTAAACAAGCACTATATTTATTATAATTTGCATATACTTTTCTTCCATCCAAATAGCTCCTACAATAAGTCATTTGTTGAGCTTTGAAGAAGCCATTGGCTTGATAGTTGGATATCACTTAATCAATAGTTCATCTTGATAAATCATCTTTCCTGGATTTGTCTCTTGAGCTAACTTCATTTATTGTTTAGGGTTTCGAGCAATCTCTTAGGCTTATTGGTCAATTAGTATTTGTTCTTAGACAACAAAAATTGCCTATCTAAGTCGAGTTATCTATTAAACTAAGGAGTAGATATGAAATTGAGTAGGTCGATTTAACTTGATTTGGAATCTATTTGATTTATCTTGAGCCGAATTTCCTTCAATTGAATCAGAATTTCTATCCATTTGATCGAAAAAAAAAGGATGTACATGTGGGTAGATAACTTATCGTACTTCTTTTCTTCATGATAGAAACATCCAAATTAGTCGAATTGTTTATTTTTATTGAAAATGAAAATGAAAATAAGACAAAGTTGAAAAGAACGGTTTATAGAAATTAAATATTGAATTAGTTTATCTTGATCTGTTGATTGAGAATTTTGACTGTCAATTAAAAAATCTTAATTTGAAACCTACATATATAATATGTGTGTAAATTTATTTGGATTGGCCTATATGTCATAAAAAAATAAAAAGTCTACAGGTGACAACACGTGTTACATATTTCGGACGCTTCTTTTGGTTGGTGAGTATTTAATATTTGGCATACTTATTCCATATGGCTCCAACAACCAAACTTCGTAATAGGAAGAGCATTTACCCATCAAACAATCAGTCAGTTTCAGGCGATGTCACCGTGGAAATTAGAGGTTTCTTCTTTCTATTGAATTTGAATAGAAAGGAGGACTTTAATGAAGATTTTCTTATTGAAATATGAAATATAATTAGCGTCCAAAACTCATCCAGTGTATTATTATAACTTATAGTTTTGAAAGCATGCTTACATTTATGTTTTTCTTTCAATTCAATTTTATGTAAATTAAAAAGATAAACTACATTTTATTAAGTATGAACAACTATATATAGATTATATGACATCACAAACAAATAAAATTTTTATCCAAATCACATAGAACATTTTTCATTCCATTCAATTAATATCAAAAACTTATAATAATTTTTTTTTTACAATCTACCTCTAACCTGCCAACTAAACCACCCATCAATGTGACACTTTTGAGCATAGTTGTATAACCTCCATTTAGCAGCTAATCTGCCACTATACCAGTCTCACAAACTATCATGCCTCATCAATAATTTATTTAGCTAAAGCACTTCCAACCATGTCTCTCTACTATCTAATGACATAATACACCTATGCTGCAACAAATACCTCATATCTTTGTTCTTATATATCTCTCTTTAAATCTCATCTAACACTATCTTATATCTCTCTTTAGATCACATCTAAACATTACCTTACATCTCTCTTCCGAAATATAATCTCAACACTATCATCAAGCAGCCTAAAGTCTTCATTGGCATAAAGCTATTTAAATTGAGTTTCGTGCACTAGAATCCAACCTTACTTGGTCCATTATCATTTTTCCACTAGGCAAACAAATTGGTTGCAAGTAGATCGACAATCTTAAAAACAATCATGATGGATATGTAACAAACACAAAGCTTGTTCAGTTGCCAAAGGTTATACTTAACAAGAAAATGTGGATGTCTTGCAGACTCTTAACCTTGTAGTCAAAATGGTCACAATTAAGATGTTAGCCTTAATTTCCAGCCAAAATTGAGTCCTTAACAAATTGGATGTTAATAATGTTTCTTACACAAGGTTCTTTTTAAAGAACTTTATGTGGATCTATCATTAGGTTATATTAACATGGGGGTTTGTAAAGCTCAATATGATAAACTCATGTGTGTACTACACAAATCAAGGAGCATCTTCAAATAGGCCTCTCGCAAGTTGCACTCTAAATTTCCATTATCATTACATCAATTAAGTTTCACACAATCCAAATCTTTATTCATAAAAAAGAGCTCATTCAAGCATGACCGCTCTCTTGCTCTATGTTGATGACATAATCATTAGTAGACTCTCTCTCTCCCTATCATAAAACCTTTATATCCGCTTCTCCCAATCCAATTCAAACTCAAAGATTTGAGCACTTCTAAATATTTTCTAGGACACAAGATCACTTGGTCTAGTATGGGCATTGCCCTATCTTAGCAACACAACATTTTATAACTCCTTGAAGACACCGACTTTTTTGTTAATAAACAAAAACAATAATAATCAATAAAAAAACTCTCCAGGATCCAAAAAAAAAAAACCAATTTAATGTCATTGATTACAAACCCTTTCCAAACCCATCTAAATTCATAAGATATAGCGACTATTGTATCTTAACCTATCTTGCCTTTACATCATCTTTGTTGTCCACAAATTCTACCAATTCCTAGCATAGTCTAGGACCATGCATCTAGTTATCTCAGGTCATCTACTTTAGTGCCTTAATATGGTGGAACAAGATTTATTCTTCTTTGCAACTTCTTCTCATCAACTCAAATCTTTTTTATACAGATTAAGGATTGACAAGTCCTATGAAATTTTATTATTGATTTTTTTTTCCTTTTTTTATACAGCTCACTAATATCATGGAATGCAAATAGTAGCATCCAAATCCTTTGCACTTTGCATTTTTCTTGGGTAACATAAATAATGAATTAACATGATTAACTCAACTACTAAAGGATTTTAGCATGCAATAATCTTCTTTATCACTCATCTTCTTTGATAGCCAGGTTGATATCCATATTATAACTAATACCATCTTTTATGAATGAATCAAATACATTGAACATGGTTGTTATATTTATTCGAAAAAAGACAGAAGATAGTTGCATCAGGCTCATGTCAATTAGACACAAATACCAAAATGTCGACATACTCACCAAATAACTATCATAGGCTTCGTTATCTTTGCACCTATCCAATGTATCTATTAGGGACATCTCTAGCTTAATTTGAGGGGGTATTTTATGTGTCCCAATTATTATCTATATAATTTGTCTAACATTTATTTTGAATTACACACTCCTGCTCATCATATATATATATATATATATATATATATATATATTCTTTTTCTTCTTTTTTTCTTCCTTTCTCTACTCTATTATAACGATAATACATGCAATATAATTTTAATTTGTGCACATTAATATCTAAGCTTTGATATGTATTTATACATTATTCAAATAATTCAATCACATAAAAATATCACTAATATTATTAAAAAAAAATGAAATTCATGTAAATATTTTAATATGCTTCAGTTATTAAATATTATATATGTAAATATTAAATATGTATAACAAACTCATATTATTTGTAAATATAAAAATATTTTGTGGCATGCTCGTAAAACCTTATTTGTACTGTGCCATTTTTTTTTGGACATTTAGGTCATTAAAGTCAAACTCACACACATAACACATACACATAATAATAAAAAACAGATCATCTCGGTTAGAGGATAACCCGGTCGACCTAGAATGCAACCCACACCAATTTACACGGGCCAACACTTAAGACTTTCACGAAGCGCCGAGGGGATTCAAACTTGGTACCTGACCTTTGGCCAGCCAGGTCTCCACCACCAGGCCACCCCACGGTGGGTAACACATACACATAGACTTGAATCTTGAACCTCTTAGTTGGAAGCCTAAAGCTCTCAACTGTGCCGTTTTGATTCCAACTTGGTAATATCATAAGAGGAGTTTTCAGTCAGAATGAATGGCGCACCCCTTTGAATAACCCGAACCATGAAACAACCAGGGGATCCACACGAGCTCATCATCCTCACCGGCCTCGCTGTCCTCCTGACCGCGCACTCTGCCGCGGCCACCACCAACCTCGGTGACACGCTGACCACCAACCGCCCCCTATTCGACGGAGAGACCCTCATCTCCGCAAGCGGTGTCTTCGCCCTTGGTTTCTTCAGCCCAAACAATAGCTTGGCCAACCGCTATGTCGCCATCTGGTACAACAACATCACATCCCACGAGGTTGTCTGGGTCGCCAACGCCGGAAGCCCTGTTTCCAGCTTCGCCGGCTCACTCACCCTGGCCCCCAACGGCACCCTTCTAGTCATCGACCGGAACAACACCGTCGTATGGTCTTCATCTCCTCTTCTCAACACCGTAAATAAAGACACAATCCCAACTGCCCAACTCCTCGACTCTGGAAACCTGATCGTCACAGATGATGAACACGGCAACTACATATGGCAGAGCTTCGATTACCCCTCAAACACGATCCTTATGGGAATGTTCATTGGATGGGATCTGCGCACTGGTTTCAGCTGGAACATAACTTCTTGGGCGAGTTCCACTGACCCATCGCCGGGGTCCTACGCCATGATAATCCAACTCAGCGGCGTGCCGCAGCTGGTCATCACCCAAGATCATGAGATCATTTACTGGCGCGGCGGCCCATGGGTAGGCAACGGCTTCACCGGCGTGCCACAGGCATCCGCTTATAATACCGTCGCCATGTCCTTCGTCACAACAAGGGAGAAATTGGGCCTGTACATAGAATCGGTGAGTGATGCGAAGTTGAGGATGATCTTGAACCCGAACGGAACAGCTCAGCGGTTTGTATGGCTAGACCCACCAGGGCAGTGGAGCTTATTCTGGCAGAATCCCATGGACGAATGCGATTCTTTCTCTCCGTGTGGCTCGTTCGGCATCTGCAACGCGAACGAGATCCCGCACTGCAGTTGCCTCTTGGGATTTCGGCCCAAGAATAGGGGTCGATGGGCTCTAAAAGATGTGAGCGATGGGTGTGTTAGGAACACGACGCTCGATTGCCGGAACGGTACCGGCACGTCCGATGGATTCTTGATTGTGAGCGGGGTGAAGCTGCCAGATACGTCGGCGGCGGTGGCGGATGGGGAATTGGGGTTGGATGAGTGCAGGGTCAGGTGTTTGACGAATTGCTCCTGCACCGCCTACTCTTTGGCTGATCCCAGCAACGGCGGAACCGGGTGCATCATGTGGACGGGGGAGCTTAAAGACATGCGTTTGTATGCCAACGGTGGGCAAGACCTTTACGTCCGCGTTGCCGCCATTGATTTAGGTATGTGTACTTGGTATTTGACATACATGCTTGCATACATCATGTGTATTGCGTGTTATAAAATTTAGGACGATAAAAATAAAAAACAAAATTCTATGTTTTGTTTTTTTCATGAACATCTAATAAACAAAAAATTAAAAAAAATTTGTAGTTTTCAGAGTTTTTCTGATGAATACTAAAAAATAAATCACAAGATCTGGTCAGATGAAATGATTAATTATATAGATATATTATAAAAATATGTTGTTTGCTCAACCAAAGAAGATAGAATTACAAGTCTATATTTTTATAAATATGAGAGAATGGTGTAGATTCGATAGTTAGATAATTTTGGTCGATGATAATAATTTGATGATGGCAATGAGATGATGGTGATCGAATAATGATGAATAGATTATGATGGGTCAATGATGATCATACAACAACGGTTAGGAGACGATGGTGGATGACGACAATCGAGTGATGAGTTCGGGTGTTTTGCACCTTAAAAGTTTTTTTTCCATACAACTGTTCAACATTGCAATAGTGTGTACCTGAGCGCTGTGGTGTTACATTGTCTGGTCGGAGGCAGACAAAGAGTGGAGCACTGTGGCGCTCTGGACCCTGACGCTGCTAGGGAGCATTGTGGCATTATCGCGCAGACTGAAGATAGAGAGTTAAGTGTTGCGATGCTCCAAATCTTGTTTCACGGCACTGCGAGGACTAGACAATTTTCTTTATCATTTTTCATGAAGAGTTGTGCCCTTGGTGGTTTTAAGGTGTTTCTCTTTATTTGTTCATGTGTGAGAATGTTGTAAGGCTGAAGAGAGACAATGAGAGAGTGAGAGAGAGAAGAGAAATCTATACTATCTCTCCCAAATTTTTATAGTGAATTTCTTGGTGTGGTGTTGCTCTATGATTTTTTCTGGTTTCAAGTTTTTTCACATTAAATCCTTGTGTTGTTTCTTTCCACTAAATTTTTTTCTTTTTTTCTTTATTGCATTAACACTGCCGTTGCCAGGTCCCAAGTCCTGGATGAGAAAAGTGGAGGGTTGCGTTAGGTAGTCGACAGCCAGCGTAAAACTTGTCGAACAATAATGACATGAATCCTTTAAGAAATTGTGTTAATGCTAGGGCGTCCCCTGGAAGCGACGCGCTGTATGGCCTGAATACAGTGACAAGTGTGCAAGGGCCGCTGCACCGGCGCCCGGGTGCAGTGTTAAATAGGCAAGGGTTCCCACATCAAGGACGGATGTGGGCAAAGAAGCAAGTCCATGATACTAAAATTAGGATAGGAACTTGGAATATAGGTTCCCTTACAGGAAAATTAATGGAATTAATAGATATTATGATTCATAGGAAGTTAAATATTTTGTGCATTCAGGAAACTAAATGGGTTGGAGATAAGGCTAAGAAAATTGATAGTTTAGGATTTAAACTTTGGTATTCGGGTAGGAGTCGTACTAGAAATG